GCATCAGTCAACCGCCCAGCCCAGGCGCCACGCCCACTCCACGCCCACCAGCCAATCGCCGCCGCGCACGGCCTGCGGAACCGCCCTGCAGGCACCTTTCACCAATCGGCGCGGTGCAGCGCTCTCTCACTCGTGACGCACCCCAAACAGTCTTTTCAACCGATACCGAGGAACCGGTTGGAGGTTGTCTAGGAAACGGAGATTCTCTTCTGCAAGCCCCCAGGACACCCCCTCGGGAGCCGTCGCCAATCAGCGCCGGGCACTGTTCCTCTTTCTCAGAGACTTCCTAGAAACTTGCCTTCTCAACGGCCACCCAGAACCGACGACCGCCGGCGTTGCTTCCGTCTGGTGCACTTTATGGATCCAGGTCCCTTGTGTGTTCTCTCAGGTTCCCACTTCTTCACAGGACCAGGTTCTTCGCAGCCCCACACATCTCTGAGTTTCCTTCCTCAGGGGCCTGCACCCTCACCGTCCCCACCTGCATACCTCCCGTCCTCAGAACTTTTAAAAAAACTCGTGGCTGGGCATGGTGGCACATACCTTTAACCCCAACATCAGGGTAGCAGACCTCTGTGAGTTCGAGGCCAGCCTGCTCTACATGGTGAGTTTCAGTACAGCCTGGGCTATTTACAAAGACCTTTTCTCTAAAGTAAGTAACTTGAGACTGAGTCTCATGTAGTCCACGCTGACCTCAAATTTGTTATGCAATGAAAATTGTCATGTTGAATCCACAACTGTGTTGTTGAACACATGTGAATGAACACATGTGAATGAACACATGAGCTCACAAAATTGGGCCACTATCCTCATAATGATGAGGGTGGGTGACACACTTCGGTGCTCTAGCTGCCCATGCTTCTGTAACTTCAAGAAGTTCCCTGGTTCACAAAACTGACTTGAGTAAAATGGTCAGGCTATCCTCTTACCAGGGGTGGCTCCCCCAAGAAAAAGTCACATTACAAGGACAGTGAGGCTCTGAGAAAGGTGTGAGTCATAAGGAGAGGGAACCTGGACAAATAGCTATACAACAGTTCCCCACAAGTCCTGTGCCCCTGTGGTTCAGGGCTTACTGGGCTTCTCAGGCACAGTCCCTTCTGGTTGGTCCCCAGCACCCTGTCTTGTTTCCCTGAAGTTCTCTATTCCCCTTACATTGCTGAGGGGCCGGATGAAACCTGTGGATCTGTGTAGACAGCAGGAAGCTAGAGTTCCACTAGAGAAAAAGTCAGCTCTGTCATTTTAGCAAGATCCAGTTTAGGAATGACCTCAATCTGTTTGTTTGTGGCGGTGGGGTGGGGGTGGGGGGACTCACTTGCACCATGGCACACCTGGAGGTCAGAGAACAACTTTCAGGACTGGATTCTCTCCTACCACATGGGCCCAGAGATTGAACTCCTGTCAGGCTTGGCAGAAAGCTCCTTTATCTGCTGATCCTAGGCCTGCTCATTCCTTCCAACCCCAGTGTCCCAGGTCTAGCAAATGATACAAAATGCCTTTTGTCTCTTATTTGGGATTCATGACATGACAACAGGCTCCTCAAGCAAAAGAAAAAGGGACACAAATCCCCCTCCAAAGTCGAAGAACCTCCCAGAATCTGTTTGCTCTGATACAGAATTCAGTTGAAGGCTTGGTGAGGGCTAGGATGGCTGGGAAGCAACATCTTCATTGTTACTGAAGAGGACACCCAAGCAACAGGTGAGGCAATGGGGAGACCTCAGGGGCACCTGGAAAGAAATGCAAGAACAGGAAAAACCATAGAAGGAAAGCATAGGCTTGGCCCCAGCAACAGGAAGTAATAGAACCCTTGAAGGGGGGCTGAGAGGGGTACACTGAACAAACGTCAGCCAGAGGCAACAAATGTCAGCCAGGGGCACAGCACTACACAGGCCTGTTTTGGTGGGAAGGGAGAGGACTGTAAGTTCCAAACTTGACGCCACATGGCAGAGGAGAGATCTTGAAGGAAACACTTGGCTGGGGGAGGGGTGACCTGACTATAATTCCAGCCTTGGAGGGCAGTGACAAATGGTTCCTCAGAGCAGCTGGTCAGTGAGACTAGCTGTTTTGATGAGCTCTAGGTTTGACTTAGATACCTTGCTTCATCGTGTACAGTGGCAGCAGAGCCTCCAGCTATGACTCCTGACACTAAACCTCCACCCTCCACATGAACACAAAGGTACAAGAATACCCACATCGGCGCTCGCCTTTAATCCCAGCACTCAGGAGGCAGAGGCAGGGGGATCTCTGAGTTTTAGGCCAGCCTGGTCTACAGAGCTAGTGCCAGGATAGGCTCCAAAGCTACACAGAGAAACCCTGTCTCGAAAAAAAAACAAAAGAATAAAAAAATACAAATCCCTCAACAGAACCTGGATATGCTGATGTAGGCAGGCAGGCCTGAGTACAGGTGAGGCAGCTGATGCCTTTCTGAAGGCTGTAGGGGTCCCAGTTTCAGGATTTGATTGGCTGCCTCAATATACAAAGTGACACAGGGTTAGCAGGCCTGGAGCTCCATAGAAGTAGGGACATTGTCCTTCATGGACATCTGAAGGTTGTCCTGGGTTCCTGGGTTGTCACCTTGGGAGACCACCTGTAGGTGCACACTGCCCACATTGGATCAAGAACTACCCAGCCACAAGCTTGGTCTTGTATCCTCACAGAGGTAGGGGTGGCATTTCCTTTTGGAAATGCCTCCTGTGACAGAGCTCTGCGGCAGGCAGAGAACTGGCCAAGTGTGTGCAGTGTCCCAGCAGTGGGAAATGAAAAGCACTTTAGAGACAGAGGCGTTTTCAGTTCTTTTAAATGGATGCTTTAATGTCTTAAGAATTTGGCCTCAGATAAGACAGAGGTTCAAATTCCTGCTGTTGCTTGGCATGTGGATCTGACGTGAGAACATAGCTGACTCCTCCAGTGAGGTGGAGCTCTCAGCCCAAAGAGGGTTCATCTCAGGCCTGGCATCTCCAAGGCCTTATGGGACTGAGGAGTAGAAAGTCCAGGTAAACTTATGACTTAATTCCAGGCTCCATGGGACGATGAAGCCCCTTCCTCAGGGAGTTTTCTGGTCCCTCCTGGCATGTCTGTCATTTCTAAGCTGTGTAGTCTAGTCACCGGATACTTTTCAATATGGTGTCTCAGGCTTGTCAGCCCAGCACTCAGGAAGCTGAGTCAGGAAGACAGCAGAGAGGTGGAAGTTAGCCTGAGCTACACAGTGAGTTCTAGGATGGCCTGAGCTATGTTGTGAGATACTGTGTCTAATAATAGTGGGGGGACATGTAGAAGGAAAAGGCTTACACAACCAGAAATCACCCTAGGTTCTTGAAGAGGGAGATGGGTAGAACAGTTGGCATAAAGAAACAAGTGCAAGGCTCCAGAAAGAGAAGCTGGGAATGGTAGCATATAGCTTTAATCCAGCACATAGGATTCGGAGGCAGGGAGAGAGGGAGGGAGGGAGAGGGAGAGAGGGTGGGAGGGGGCGGGGGGGGGGGGGTGGTGGTATGGGATTACAGGAGAGAGGAAGAACAGGAATGAGGTCAGGGCCCGAGATTCCATGTTGAAGGAGTCTCGCCAACTGTGAGACATGATAGATAACTCCAGGACACAGGGACAAATTGTCTGAGTTAATAACACACACAAAAAAGAAACTCAACCAAGCAAATTGGCAACCTAGGAGTGGAAAGGCTTGCCCTGTATCATGTGGTCCTCTATGAGGCGAGCCCTCAAAGGCTGATCAATTACCATTCAACACCAGAGCCAGCAATTGGAAGGTGGATTCAGGAGGATTAAGAATTCAAGGCCAACCTCAGCTACACAGTGAATTCAAAGCCAGGCTAGACTACATGAGATCCTGTCTCAAAAAAACCAAACTAGCCTCAGAAAGACAGTACACCTATAGTCTAGCCTGTAACAGTGGGTGGTCTAACCTGGGACAGCTCCCATCTCTTCTACCCTGAACACCTACAGCACCATGTAGAAAGAAAGAGTCCATAGGATATACCAGAGACATACAGTAAAACATGAAAATGTTAAAAAAACTACAAACACAGCCAGGCGTTTGTGGCGCAGGCTTTTAATCCCAACACTCGGGAGGCAGAGGCAGGTGGATCTCTGAGTTCGAGGCCAGCCTGGTCTCCAGAGCGAGTGCCAGGATAGGCTCCAAAGTTACACAGAGAAACCCTGTCTCGAAAAACCAAAAATTAAAAAACAAAAAAACCCTGAGATAACAGAGCCAGACTGCCAAGCCCCTTTGGATGCCCTCCCAGGTGCATGGAGATGGCCCCAACTCCCAGTGTCCTGAGGTGGGCAGATCTGTGGGCCTGGGGAGCATTGAGGGGCCATGCATCTGCTGGGCTGGATTGAGTCAGGGGAACTGCAAGTGGCTGTGGGTACAGACAGACAACATTCCTGCCTGTCTCCCGCCTCAGTCCACGGAAGCTAAAGGGTGGAGTCCGTCAGAGGGTGGTCATTCTCAGGAAGCATGATTCGGGTGCTGGCGCCCATCCGGGCAGAAGATGAGTAGTGGGCAGATTTGTGGTTGGACCAGCGAAGGCACATGCAGCACAGGAGGCGGCGGAAGGTCCGGCGCATCTCAGCGTCTCGGCAGGAATACACCACTGCATTCACCAGTGAGTTGGCCTCAGCCAGGAGTAGGAAGTACTTCTCCACAGCCAGGACATTGCAGGATTTACAGTCTAGACCGTCCAGGAGCAGCACCACCTGGCCCGGCGTCCAGCACACCACGAATGCCCCTGCAGGACAGAGGCAGGGAGTGGGATTGTGGGATGGGGGTGGGGTGGAGTTGATGATGGTAAGCCACCAGGAGCCTTGCCTGAACCACTCTGTGCTCAGGCAGGGACCAACTGTGTGGCACATACCACATAAGCTCCCTGTAGGGGCAGAACTGCTTGGAGGGGACACCTTTCTCCAATTTGCCTGCCAGAGGGGCACCTTTCCTAACCAGGACAAAGCAGCCCAGGGCCCTGGAGCCTTCTATAGGAGCGAGATTTGTTCACTAAAGGATGGGACAGGCTGGTTACACACTAGAGGGCCGGGAATCACTGGGGAGAATCAATCCTGGACTAGGAATAGATTTCCTCCTATACTAAAAGCCCCAAAGAGCCGGGTGGTGGTTATACCAGAGACATAAACATGAAAATGTTAAAAAAACAACCACAGCCGGGTGTTGGTGGCGCATGCCTTTAATCCCAGCACTCAGGAAGTGGAGGCAGGGGGATCTCTTGAGTTGGAGGCCAGCCTGGTCTCCAGACCGAGTGCCAAGACAGGTTACAAAGGAACACGGAGAAACCCTGTCTCAAAAAACAAAACAAAAGCCCAAACAGGGACTTTTTGCTAAGACTGAGCTCAGACCCAAATTCCCATGTGGAATAAGGAAAAAACTGTTTCCCACAAGTTGTCCTCAAACCTTCACAGATGAACTGAAGTGCATGCGTACACACATATGTGCACACACAAAATAAACGTAAAAAATTTTATTTACATATGTGCACATGAGTGTAAGCCACATGCATGTGGGTGCTGTCTTGGAGGCTGAAAATGGGCGTCACATCCCTTGGAGCTAGAGTTGCAGGTGGTTATGAGCTGCCCAGTGTGGAATTGAACTTGGGTCTTCTGGAAGAAGTAGTGGTCTTAATCACCAAGCCATTTTCTAGCCCCAGAAAATAAACTCCAAAGGGGAGCCAGGTGGCACAGGCCCACCAACCCAGGGAAATAGAAACAGGAGGGCTGGGGCTTCAAGGTATGCCTTAGCTACATATGGAGTTCATGAAACCCTGCATTAAAAGATGAATGCAGTGGTGCACATTTTTAATCCCAGACAGGCAGTTTGAGACAGCCTTATCTACAGAGTGAGTTCCAGGATAGCCAGGGCTATTTAGAGACCCTGTCTTAAAAAAAAAAAAAAAAAATTTTAGAGACCCTTTTTTAAAAAAAAAAAAAAAAAAAAAAAAAAAACCCATGAGCCAGGTGTAGGGGAGCACACCTTTCATCTTAGTACTTGGGAGGCAGAGGCAGATGGATCTCTATGAATTCAAAGAAGCCTGGTCTACTTAGTGAGCTCCAGGCTAGCTAAGGCTACACAGGGAGACCTTACTTCAAAAGAAAATCAAAACCAGGGCTGGAGAGGGAAGGTTCAATTGTTAAGAGCAGGCACCTAAATCCAGTTCCCAGCACCTAGAAACTGCCTGTAATCTCAGCTCCAAGGGCTAGGGTGCCACCAGCCTCCATATGCACCTGCACACATTTGCACAAGTCCAGACAGTTTCACAGCCACACCTACATACATGCACAGATAAAAATCTTAAAAAGACAAGGAAAAGTTGGGTATGCAGTGACCCATTTCCAGTCCTCAGGAGGCGGAGGTAGGCAGAGTGAGTGCCAGCCTGGTCTACAGAGTGAGTGCCAGGACAGCCAGGGATACTTTGCGAGACCCTGCCTTAACAAAAACAACATAAAAACAGAGCTGAGGATATCGATTGGTTGGTAGTGCTTACCTAGCCTGCACTAAACTGTCACTTCAACCCCTAACACTTCAGACCAAGGGTGGCAGTGCACATCTACAACCCTAAGACTTGGGAGATGAAGGCAAGATGATCACAGGTTCAAGGTCATGCCCCACTACTACATAGTTTGAAGCCAGCCTGGGCTATATGACATTTTGCCTCAAACAGAATCAAACAAGACTTCTAAATGGTTTCCTTGGGAACATGAAAACTGAGGCTGGCCTTTGTCCTCTGTAGAGGCTGGCTGAAAGGTCATCTTTTCCTCTTTGGAGGCTCTGCCTGGTCCTGCCACAGGAATTTCATTTTGTTTTTTGTTCTCTTTTCCTTTCCCCTGCATTGAGGGTACTACCATGGAGAACACCAAACCCACTTCCTTCGATATCAGGTCACTTTCTCAGTTCCCTAGGGTTCTATAGAGGTTAGGTCCCTGAAGCTGCTATCAAAGCACCCACTCACCCAGGATGATGACAACAGTCTTGACTAGGCTGAGTGTCGTCTCTCGGTAGCGGGGATGGCAGCTGACATGCTCTGCCATGCGTTCCACCCGTCTACGCACATAGAAGAAAATTCGTATGTAGACGGCTACCATGAGCAGGAAGACGAGCAGGCTGGACAGGGCCCACACAGCCAGGTATGAGCGGCTGAACAGGGGCACCATTCGTGAGCACCTGTCCAAGTCACAGAGACAGTGCCAGAAGTGTGCAGGCAGCAGCCCCAGGCCCAGTGCAGCCACCCACACACCCACGATGAGTGTGACCACACGGCCCCTGGGCAAGCGGCTATGAAGCTGCACGGCCATCACACTACGGTGCCGCTCTACAGCAATGGCCAGCAGTGTGGCCACCGATGCTGTCAGGCTGGTGTCCAGCAGGCCCTGTCGCAGGAACCAGCCTTTGATGGAGAGCCTGGCGGTTCGTGGGCCAGTATGGAACATAAGGAAGAGGTAGGCCATGCCGGCAAAGAGGTCAGCAGCAGCCAAGTTGCCGAGCAGATAGTATATGGGCTGGTGGAAGCGTCGGTTGGAGGCGATGGCTGCAATGACCAGCAGATTGGTGAGTAACACCAGTACACTGACCGTCAGCCCCAGAGCCACCACCACCACATCCTTGGGGCGCCAGTGAAGGCTGAGCTCCTTGCCACTGTTATTGTAGAAAAAGCCAATGGTCTCATTGTAGTAGCACTGACCCATGATGGCCACCTGTGGATAGGAGAAGACAGAGGTCAGTGCAGGTGGCCCCTGACGGAAGGAACAGGCAGTGGCCAGAGACAAGAATCAAGATTGGGTGAGTATAAGCCACAGATTTAGAGCCCTTTGAGTAAGGTGTCTGTGGTGAGAGCCAGAGTGATCTAAAAAGCACAAGCCGCTTCTTTACTCATAAAGCAGGGTTACTACATATCCCACCTAGCCTAGAACTCCCTGTGAGACCAGACTAGCCTCAAAATCACAAAGATCCGCTTGCCTGTGCTGAATGCTGCCATAACCATTTTCAAAGGGATGTCTGATTGGCGGGTTTTTTTTTTCTGCTTTTTTAAAATCTGAAAAACCCACAGCAAATGCATCTTCATTGAAATTCAAAGCCTCGTGCCACCAATCTACGACCAGATTGGTCACTTGTGGTTTCCGAAGGGTGTGAGAGGGTTGGCTGGGGCAGCACAAAGGCGGCAGGAGCAGCTGGGCGGGCTGAAGATCACACTGGTGCCAGGGCCCTTGCACAGTGCAGAGGCCAGGGGGCGTGTGCACACCAGAGCGAGGTTCCTAGTCAGCACTCGGAGGTCAGTGCCAAAGCGTAGAGGTGACTTAGCGTGAGCAGAGTCAGAGAGACCGCCCCAGAAGTTGAGTTAAGGCAGGATTCCGCGCAAGAGCTCTGGAAGCAAGCCATTCCGGGGTGGGACGGAGGAGCAAGAGTCGTCCGGGACAAAGGAGGGAGTTTCAGCGACTCTGGGCTAGAGGAAGGGTTGTGGAGAAGAACCGGAGCGCCTCACTCTCTCCGGAAGCCTGCACCCACCCTGGTCCGGTTGGTACTTGTCTTACCTGGGCCTCCAGTCAAGCGGCAGAAGGGGCGGGTTCGCGGGGGGTCGAGGCGGGACTGAGACCCATGGTCCCTGCGATGGGCGGCGGTTGCGCAGCGCAGCTGCGTTCGTCCGGTGTGCGAGCCCCAGGCTGAGGAGGCGGGAGAGGCGGGGCCCCAAGGCCACGCCCCTACCGGCCCCAGCTCCGGGGCCCCCTGGGGGCTGTCCCGCCCCCTGGAGCGTTCCACCCCCCACGTCGGCAGTGTGGTCTCCTGTAAGTGCTGCAGTCCCACCTGCCCTCCTTAGCCCGGGCTCCCCATGTGGGACACTCCTTCCACTCCGTCCCCGCGCACATTCACGTGCTTGCCCTTTCGCGCCTTTGGGGTTGAGTCACCTGACAGCTGGAAAGATCCTCGGGGTGGCCTCTGGGGCGCCCCCACCCGGTTCCTGTCCAATCCTGTACCGAGATGCAAGTCCCGCCCCGCCCCTTCGTGGTCCAGCTCGCGGCCGGACCCCCGCCCCACTGCTGCTGCGCCACAGGCGCCCGCCGACCCTGTGCGCACCCTGGCTTCCCGCGGCGGCTCTGGCCGGCAGCCTCCTCCCCTGGCCTCCCCCGTCCACAGCACACAGCCCCATTGTCCCGATTATCTGCACCGGGTTGTATTTGATTATGTAGAACCGGATCAGGGACACAGAGCTCTCGCAGGACCCGAGTGACTCATCTGGAGCTCCAGGCCCTACCTACACTAATTGCCTGTGGGTTTCCTAGGGTGGACTTTAGAAGCCTTGGTTCAGTCAGGTCAGTAATAAAGGGGTAAAATATGCTGCTCTTACTGGTGATCTCTTTGTCAGCCTTCCCTGGCAAAGACAGATGTGCAAGAACATAACAGGATTTATATATTTTTTTTATTTTTTGTTTTCAAAGATAGAGTTTCTCTGTGTAGCCCTGGCTGTCCTGGAACTAACTCTATAGACCAAGCTGGCCTTGAACTCGGAGATCTGTCTGCCTCTGTCTCCCGTGTGCTGGGATTAAAGCCATGTTCTACCATGCCTGGTGCATTTTTTTAAATTAAAATTTAATTTTATTTGTGCATGTTTATGTGCAGCGGTCAGACGATTTGCAGAGACTGGTTCTCTTCTTTCATCAAGTGGGTCTGGAAGATCCAGCTCCCACCGGTCTGGCTTTGCAAGCACCATTGTGAGGAGACAGGGCATGGGTTTATTCAGAGGTAGTAAGAATCCAGACTTGACCAGAACTTGGGAAGCAGAGAATTGCTTCGAGTTCTATAACAACCTGGTTTACACAGAGTTCTAGACCAGCCAGAGCTTCATGAGACTTCCCCCATCTCAAAATAAACAAAATGAAAGAAAGGCATAAAAGGTGACAGGAATTCACTTGGAATCTGTCAAGGAGGCAAGTGGCAGCAGGGCCAGGAGCCGCCAAGTATCTATCTGTCTCAGAGGTCAGAGACTTGGGTAGACCCCAAGGATCTTCGGACCTGTACTGACCACTGAGTTTTGACCCTGAATTGCCTTTGTACTGTGTTGCCTTGCTGTTTTAACCTCCTCCTCTGGCAGGCAGGGAGAGACACTGTAACCACGTGTGTTAGGACTTCTCCAAGATGAGTGGTCTTCCTTTCCCAACTTTCCGGTAACCCCGTCTCTCCCCATACCCTACTGAATTGGTTTGGCTACCAGGTAGAGCAGGCAGGGAGACATCAATCAACTCAGTCCTGGGTCCCTCAGGATGGGAGTGGTCAGAGATGCTCCTCAGATTCCTCAGGCTCAGTGTCAGCACAACTGGTGGCCCTGGACACAGTCTCACTGTCCAGCTTTGAGAGTAGCCGTGCTGTCTCCTGGGTGATCTCAAAGTGCTTGGGCAGAGGGTTCCGGCGCAGGGGGCTGCCTTCAGAGGAGGCAGAAGCAGGGCCCAGACTTCGTCCCCTCAAACTACCTCCGTGCACTGTTGAGACAGTGACAGGAGTCTCCTCACACAGCTTGTAAGCCACCAGAGCCAAGCTGGACAGTTGATGAGTGACTGGTCGTACACCTCCCCGGGAATACTTCACTGGCTGGCGGCTGAAATGGCCCCGGGATTGTGTTCCCAGTAGCAAGTCCTCAGGATTGTGGCTGGACCCTGTGGGGTGATGAATGCTAAGCATCTCCCATGTTCTCAGGATGTACCCCAGGAGTGACCTGTCAGCCAGGCAACGCTGGGGCAAAGAGAGCTCCCCAGCACACTCACCTTCCCCTGCCCCGTCTCTGGTGTTTTCCACCTCCTTCTCTTCCCTTTCGTCCCTCTGCAGAGTTGCAATCTGCAGGAAGAAACCCAGAATGTGACTCCCAACAGTAAAATCCCTGTTTTAGGGTCTGTGGGGGTGGCTCAGTGGGTCAGAGGATTTGTTGTGCAAGCATGAGGACCCAAGTTTGAATTACTGGCATCCTTGTAAGAAGCCAGGCACAGCTGGGAGTGCTTGTGACTCCTATGGTGTGGGGTGGAAACAGGGTCCTGGGAGCTCATTGGCATGCCAGCCTAGCTGAAATAGCAAGCTGCAAGTTCAATGTGTGATCCTCAATACACATAGCCAGTGCTCATCTGTTGCTCTCATGATGTGCTCATGACAGCTAGCAGAGTCATTTGGCTAACGTTTTCTAGTGCTGGGACCCAAACCCAGATACTCACACATGCTAGATGCATACTTTGCTCCTGAGATGCATTTGCAGCCTGGTCCTTGCTTCCTTCCTGTTTCCTTACAATACAGGACTGCACACAGCACGCATATTCCCACCCAAGGCCTTAACATGAATTGTTCCCACTGCCTGGTACACCTTTCCCCAGATCTTCCAAAGAGGTCTCTTTGCACCTCTTTTCTGTGCCATGCTAGTCTTTGCTTAAATCCACCTTTCCAGAAGACTTGCCCAGATTATATTCCCTGCTACAAAGTCCTCTAGACCTCATCTTACTCCATCCTGCTTAATACTTAAAAAAAAAAAAAAAATGGGGTGGGTTCTGACTATGCTAGACAGCAGAGCTGCCCAGCATTGACTCTACTCCCCATGTTTACCTCTATGGCCAGCACAAGTCAAACTAGGGTGGGTGGAAAACGTTTTAAAAGGCAGGAGGGTGAAATGGCCCAGTGGGTAAAGTGGTACTCACTGAACAATCTTGGTACCAATCACAAGCCAAGGAGCCAGATGCAGGACTGCTGAGATGGCTCAGGGGTGATGGTAATTACCACCAGACCTGACAATGAGTTTGATTTCCAAGAACTGATTCCTGCAAGTTTTCTTCAGACCTCACACCTATACCTGTGTGCCTCTCCCATTAAATACATAAATACATTTTTTTGTTTGTTTGCTTTTTTGTTTTTTTATGGTTTTTGTTTTTTCAAGACAGGGTTTCTCTGTGTAGCTTTGGAGCCGATCCTGGCACTCGCTCTGTAGACCAGGCTGGCCTCGAACTCAGAGATCTGCCTGCCTCTGCCTCCTGAGTGCTGCAATTAAAGGTGTGCACCACCACCACCCAGCACAAATGCTTTTCTTTTCTCCTTTTCTTTTTGAGATAGGGTCTTGCTGTTATGCAGCTCCAACTCTCATAGATCAGGCTGGCCTTGAACTCCCAGAAATCTACCTGTTTCTGCTTTCTGAATGCTGGTTAAAGGTGTGCGCCACCATGGCCCAGTCTAGTAAGTAAATTTTATAGAGAAAAGGTGCCCAGAAAGAAGATGCTCACCCAACTGCAATTCTAGCACTCAAAGCACAAAAAAGGCAGGAAGATCACAGAGAAAGACCCTATCTCAAAATCAAGTAAAACAATACAGTAAAAAGGCAAGTGTGTCTGGGCTGGAGAGATGGCTCAGTGGTTAAAAGCACTGGCTGTTCTTCCAGAGGACCTGGGTTCAATTCCCAGCATGCACATGACAACTCAAAACTGTGAGCCGGGCGTTTGTGGCGCACGCCTTTAATCCCAGCACTCGGGAGGCAGAGGCAGGTGGATCTCTTTGAGTTCGAGACCAGCCTGGTCTACAAGAGCTAGTTCCAGGACAGCCTCCAAAGCCTCAGAGAAACCCTGTCTCAAAAAAACCAAAAGACCAGATATTTCAAACATATGTACTCATATGTGGATTTGAGACATAGAGTAAGGGATTACCATCCTACAATCCACACTGCCAGAGAAACTAGTAAACAAGGAAGACCCTAAAAGAGACAAACTTTGTCCCCTGGAGAAGGGGAAAGGGTCACCATCCCCTGAGCAAATTGAGAACATGGGAAGAGGGGGGAGGAAGCTACGAGAGTGAGAAGGAAAGAAAAGGAAGGATGCAGAGGTCATGAGGAAGCAGAAATTTTGATTCAGGTGTAGATTAGAAGAAAGGACATATGATAGGTAGGATTTTAGTTGAGGGGTGGTAGAGGAGGAAGGGAGGGAGAAGGGAACTGGGATCATGTAATTCAATCTTGTTTGTAATTCAAATATATATTAAAAAAAAAACTAAAAAAAAAAAAAAACTGACTCCAGTTCCAGGGGATCCAACACCCTCACAGACATACATGCAGGTAAAAAACACCAATGCACTTAAAAAAAAAAAAAAAAAAAGGCAGGTGTATCATCTTAGCTACTTAATAGGCCGAGACCGTAGGGTCAGTAATCTTAAGGTCACCCTGGCTTACAGCATGAATTCAAGGCCAATCTGGCAATTTAGGGATACTCTGCCACAAAATGAAAACTAAAAGGTTGAGTAGGTATCTGCTACCAAGCTTGGCAATTTCAATTCCCAGGACATATATGCTAGAGGAGAACTGACTCTCCCAAGTTTTCTCTGACTCCCATGTGATGCCCCCCACAATAAACAAATACAATGTAATAAGAGAAATTTGGGCTGGGGAGATGTTTCAGTGGGTAAAGGTACTTGCCACCAAGTCTAAGAACCAGAATTCCATCCCCAGTACCCACATGGTGAGAGGACAGATTGTCCTCTGGCCTTCATACTCACACCATGACATGAATGTGCCTACACACATATACGTTCTCTCTAAATAAATGCTTTTAAAAAATGCAAAAGTAAAGAGAGCTGAGAGTGTGACTTAGTGGTAAGCACCATGCTCTGAATTCAATACCCAGTTGTGCAAAAGAAGGGAAATTAAACACAGACAAGGCCCTCCCCACATCTGTGGGACAAGCAGGTTCCTACCTCAGGAGGTGTGACCTTGGGATACTTCTCCAGGGCACTGTGGTGTCTGGGGTCTGGGATGGAGTCTGACGCTATGGTCAAGGGCTGTGTATCTTGGGCAAGCAGTAGTGCTGGGTGCTGGGGACTAGATTCGAGGAGTGCAGGAGCCAGGCCAATGTCTTGGGTCAGGGGCTCAGAGGCCAGAGGGAGCTCATCCATTCCAAAGATCTGCTCATAGTTCACAATGAGGAACTCAACAAGCTGAGCCTGGTGACCGGAGTCCAGC